TCTGAAGAGCTTGTCCAGCGTGCTCATGCTTACCACCAGACCATTCTTGCTGCCAACGTCCGTCTCACTACGCCGCCAGTCTCTCGCCTACATCTCGTCTCTATCACTCCTACTGCCAGCAAAGGTGACCGCATCACCAGCGCCAGTGTTGCTTTCTCCTTTACAGTTGAGCCTGAAGACTGCAATGCCTGGGGCACCATCCACGGCGGCTGCGTCTTTACGCTCTGCAATGCCGCTGGCAAAATAGCCACTGCCGTTGTCGCTGCCGGAGCACGCAACATTGTCTCAACAGACCTGACCACCAACTACCTCGCTGCTGTGCCACATGGAGCCACAGTCACGATCGAAATAGAGTGCTTGCGCGTGACACGGTCCATTGGCTTTTTGCGAGGCAGCATCAAGGACGCGCAGGGCGCCCTGTGCTACATTAGCGTACAAAACGTAAGCTTTGAAATGTAATTGAAGTAATAAAAAACAGCAAAAAGAGAACTTTTGGAGATTCGGGGTATCGATCCCCGTGCCTCTCACATGCGAAGCGAGCGCTCTACCATTTGAGCTAAATCCCCATCTCTTCTCTGCTCTTTTCAAATATTCTTTTGGAAACAGCCCCTAACGCCCCACTCTCTTCCAACCGCATACATTTAATCGAACATTCTCAAACGCCACAGGACAACGACACCTCAGACGCCCCTACTCACTACAACTTCTAACGGACACTCTCAAGGCTCGCAGAATACACCGAGAGGAGACTGACTTTATTCAGATTAGGATAACTTATTGTGATTTTTTTTCGTGTTATTCTTAACAAACTCAGAGAAAGGTTGCACCAAAAATGGCTTTTTGGGCCACAGCAGCATCATTACTTTTATTGCAAGCCCCTGGCAATTCTTCTTCTGCTTTTATTTGTGCGTGTTGAACTGGCAATGCAAATTGGTACTGGTAGAACTATCTATAATGGCGTCAATGAACCTAAGCTTCTCACAGCAAGAGCAGAGACAAGGCTGCTGTTTGGCAATGTCAGTTTGAGCACACCATCAACATAGACCTCTGTGATCTCATCTTCCCTTGTGCCTTGAATGTTGTTGATCCACGCAACTTGCACACGACCTGGTAGTGAATTGTCATTTAGCACATCTTCAATGGTGTTGTAGAGAATAAAGAAATCCTCAGTGTCAGTCTTTCCATTTTCTCCTATGCTGTCAGTGAAGGCACAGCTAGTTTTAACCCGAAAGAAAACACCATTACTGCTTGCCTCTGTGCAAGCTTCACTGTCGCTTGTATTGGTCTGGATCAATTGATCTCGCCATAGTAGAAATACCCTAGAACCACATAATTGCACGTCCCTTTTAGTTGGCTTTTGGAGAGACATCGTTTTCTTTTTAAAACAAAAGGGGGTAAATAATAAATAAAAAAAAGGGTAGTAGATATGAAGAAAGAAAAACAGGAGAAACAGGGTAGGAGCAGCTGGATCCTCCTTTTTATACCCCAAAAATAGGCATTTTTTCCCCAGAGCTCAACCATTTTATTTTCAGTCAACTGCAAAAATGTCCCAGCATGTGCTTTGAGAGCCTTGCCACAGTCGGGTTGGGAACCCACAAAGCGCCGATTGTAAGGAGACTTGCTCAACGGAGTTCAACAGTGTCTTTGAATAAAGAACATGCTCATAAAATATGTATTGTGGCTCTACACTAAAAAAAAACTGCTTATAGCTCTATTGACAAAGTGTTGTAATAACTAACGACGGCTGTATCCTACTTGTCAAGCATTGCTGTGCAAATGTCAATGGACATGTCTACGCTAAAACCAAGTACATGGCTTTTAAACTGCCTGCCTTTGTAAATATCAATTGTTTGATGCCCAGCTGGGCTTTTCACAAACATGGCAAAGCGAACGCCATCTCTATTTAAATTTTTGTCATTGACATATTTGGACAAGGCGTTGTGTAGCTCGTATACCTCCTTGATAGCACAAGCATCCTCTCCAGGATCTTTTATATTGAGAATAATGACATACCCCCCTCTCTCAATTAACTCATCACGCCTTTCCTTGCTATAGAGCACCTCTATATTATCCTCTTTTTTGTTTTCCTTCTTTTGGAACATATCCAGAAATTTGTCGAACAACATTGGCAATGACAACGACCGTGGCGAATGTGAAATGTGTGGTATTAAGGTGGTATAGAATATAAATATATGTAGAAAAGAAAAACACATTCTGTACCAGCATGGACATGTAGCGCCTTTTTGTAGCTAGGGAATGCGCCCTAAACCGGAGTCCGATTTTTCTTTCTTTTCGCCTTGGCTGACTGGAGAGCGCGACAAAGAAACCAGGTAGGCCTTTGCTGCTATCGGGTTGGGGATTCCTTTAAAAGTGAGCAAATACCGCAGCAATGGCTGGAGCGAAAAATAAATTGGGGCAGGTAAATTGTGTATACCACGTGTGTGTTTGGTTTGACAGGATGAAGCTGTCTTTACTAGCGAGACTTACCCATGCCATCACTTTCAGGCATCTAGAGTAGTGTGTTCCCATTTATTATTTTGTCGGTCAAGAGAACATAACAATAAAATTTGCTACAAGCAACTACTATGAAGTATATGCAAACAAGAGCATTCTTTATCCTGTTGGCATTGCCAAAGTATAAAAGATACTCTTCCACCTATATTCGTACTATACCCATGTTATCTGTTGCAGCCGTTCATGATAGCTTCCGTAAATTGGCAAGTTTGACACGAGGCGAAATGAAGATTCTCTAAATAATGTATTCCCCCGCCACATAATCGTTTTCATCTTTGGACACACAATACTCAGCAGTTGTCCAAAGTGGACAGTGTTATTGGAACCGGAACCGGGTTCGAATATAACTGCTACTAGGTTAGAGTCAGCCACATAGTTGGATATGTAAAAATCCGCCAAGCTACTACTATTCACTACATTACTTAGAGTTGCTTGCGCCTCATCTGACTCTTCTGCTGGTGTCTGTAGTATCAGGTGTGTTAGTTTCGGTATGCACTTTAGTAGCAAAATGACATCTTGAATAGAAACATCCAATTCTGATATTCTGAGGTATATTAGGCGGCTTGCAGTACTTGAGGCACAAAACTGGCTAACAAAGTTGTCTTTATTCAAGCAGTGCGCCGCGACAAAAGACAAATATTGGATATTTGGTCCACAGTTCAATGTAAAATCTAGCAATCTGTGCTCGGCATCTATGTCAGGCATCTTTCCATTGTAGTTTATATTGAAACATAGACTCTTTAGCTTTGGAAACTCCATCTTTGCGTTGCCATCATTGCGAGGTAAAAACGAGTAGTCATTGACCGACGTCTTGATAGTGATGTGTTCTAGCGTTTGATTGTTACCTCTAAACAGTATATCATTACCAATAAAGCTTGCCTCAACCAGTTCTATGCTAGAAAGTATTGGGAACGGCGTCCCTTCTAGTTGTAGTTCAGGCCCTTCTTGCCTAAGGCCGCCAAATGCTAATGTCAAAAATTCAAGGCGTGGGTACTGAATGGGTTCTCCATCATCAGCTAAAACTATATCTTCAAAGAAAGACTGGTCTTCAAAATCAATATCAAGTCTATTCAGAGTGGTAGAGTTTATGCATATCAGCTGGACAAACAGCTCAGAGTCGTTACATTCACGATAAGAAATGTTTGTCAGTTTTGTCAAGACGGGCAGGCTATCAATCATAAAGTACTTTCTGGATACTTTGTAGCTAATCGTATTTCGGTGTTTCATTAGTAGTGTTACCATTCGATTAAATCCAAATAATATCAGTCGCTCCTTATGATCATAGACGTCATTCCCTACCAAGTGGAAAGTGCTTGCAT